ATTATAGTGGGTAATTTGAGACCTACTATAATAGGTGTAAATTTCCACACATTCTTAATTTGTGTAATTGTAATACAAAATGACTTTTTTCTTCCGTACTGTAATTTTGTAAAATTACAACTATTATAGTGGGTCTCAAAATTACCCACTATAATAGTTGCAACTTTACAAAATTTTTTTACAATGAACGATTATAGCACCTAACATTGCATCTTCCACTGGGCTAAGTATATTATCTTTTTTTTTAGGCTTCAAATCTTACTTCTAATTGCATGATATTATTGCTGAGTTTTTTGTAGAGGGCTGCATCACTATTTTCTATAATAGAAAAACTGCAGAATTTTTGTATAGAGCAAATATTGTCGTCAGGTGAAGACAATATTTATAAAAATAAGAATTTTTGTTAGTTTATCAGAAAAAATCAGGTACAACCCTCTAAATTTTTGTGCGTACTTTAATCGTGTAAAAAAATTTTCCATTCTGTTCAGCCAATTCAAAGATATTGCTTAGACCGATTATGTCAGTGTCGCTGTCACTCCAGAATCCCCTTAATATACTTATTTCTTCTCGTTCGAAACTGTCGCGGAAACGTTTTGTGACTCATAAACCATTTATCACTCCATGTGCACGGAGAAAATAATGATGTACGTTATGTATCAACAGCATTAAGTTTAATTGAAAATAATTTTGTTAATTTAATTCATGCTTTCGTTTTAATAAAATAAGTATTTCTTCTTTTAATAAAATAATTATACACTGAAAAAAAAAATACTTAGATCCAAGAAAATATTTTTTCACATAGTACCAATGGCTTATTTACTTAATATAATCACATATTTATTTAGAGAATTAGATATCTTTACTTAAATTAAGTAAAAATAATATACATAAATTAAGTGAATAATAATTTATTTAAATTAAGTAAAAATATCTAATTTTAAATAAATATGTGACGATATTAAGTAAATAAGCCATTGGTACTATGTGAAAAAATACTTTCTTGGATCTAAGTATTTTTTTTCAGTGTATTTAATAAAATAAGTAATGTTTCACTAATACTGTTTATTGTCTATTGAATTAGCAAAATTACTTCCAATTAGCCTGAAACTGTTGATACAACATCATTTTTTTCTCTATGTGCGTCAGCGTGAACTAAATCACACGGTAGATATTGTATTAAACGTGATTATAATTCCATATTACCGAATACAACATGGTCTCTGACATAACTTTGATCGCTCAAGAGGTGTACGAGCAGAAATGAAAGTCGAGCTCCTCGATCAACGAGTAAACTTTTACGGGGACTAATTGTAAGTCGTAGTCGGCACTGCCACGTAGAACGATTAACTTAGGTACCATCATCGACGAATTCTTCTATCATCTGAAAAGGCAGAATGCACGCCGTTATACGAAGCAGAATGACGTCGCCGTATAGAATGAACCGCTATCAATACCGCTGTCAAAAATAGCATCAAGTACGCGATGTTCAACGACATTCTTTTTGGAAGGAAAAAATTTACTTAAAGCTCCAGTCAACTTTTGAAGAAGAAAAAAATAGAGTCCAAAATTAATCCAATTAAAATAAACGGCACAGTATTATTTTACTATAGAACATGTATAACAGCTAGATATATGTTCTTGCAATAATAATACTGTGCCGTTTGAAAGATATTTCGAACTGACTCCCGTAATCTCCGTACTCGTCTCCGAGCACCGCGGAATAATGTCTTTGGACGCTCAGTATCACGTCGACGGATCCTTGCCGAAGTGCCGAGAAGAACAAAAAGAGACATCGGACACGCCGAACAAAGCGATAATCTCTTTTTTTTCACCGTTGGAGGATCGGTCGAGGGAAGTTTTTTGCGCGATGGACCGGGGAGATCAGCTAAACGGATAAAACTTTCGCTTAGCTGAACAAATAATGTCTCCCGGTCGCAGTAATACGCGGGGTAAATGCAGGGACGTAGATACATATCGAGCGCTTCAGATAACAATAATCGCGGTGATTCTGCGACGTGGAAATTGCGACCGATCAAATGTAGTAATTTGTTTTAATCGCTTTCCTTCCTTGCGCTGTCGCTAAATTAAGAATCAACGATATCTTCTTAATATTCATATTGAATAATTAACATAAAATGTGATATAAAATATGAAAATATACACAGTTAAATAAACGCGAGGTCTTCTCCGGGTGTTAGCGTTACAGTAAATAAAAGTACCTTTTTATTATACATATTCTAAAAATAATTAAACATTCTATTCATGTTAAATAATAAACATGTTTGGAGATATTGATTAATGGCTAAGCGCGATTAATTCTTAGATTAAATTTGCACCGATATGAATCACTCATATATAACGATACGAAAGTGAATGGTATAAATGTGATGCGAGACTGTTGACTTTCCGCCCATAAATTTGAAAATATCGTTCGTATCCGACTCTGGACACATCCATATGACTTTGCGATTTTCAGTAGACGTAAAGGAAATATGTGTATATATTATATATTGTTATATTACATATATGTGTATATAAATAATGTATGACCGATGATATATTAATCATGAAATGCATAGAACGATTGTCGCAACTTCAAATTCTAAAAAAATAAATAAAAAACGAATTAGATAATTGAATGAAACACAACAGCAGCCTCATTGTTGCAAATTGCGAGCAATAAGTAGTTATCTTCAAGTTGTAATCGATTATAAAAACGTTCGAGAAAAATACAGAGAGCGACCTCAAGCTGATAATGTATTTTCTATATATACATATGTCACATCTGTTTGTGCGATTGCTTTCTGGGCAGCTCTTATTAGTTTCGAAGTTAATGCATAATGATATGATTCATCGATCGCCTCGCGGTTGGAGAGTGTGCTGCTGGCGATCATAAAATTCGCCTAGTAATCATGGCACCAAAAATGATTCAGCGACTACCGTGCGAACAACCGGCCAAGTTGGTTTCACAACAATTGCTAATTTATGAGCGATGTTAAAATACAAGAAAATAGTGACTGTTAATATCGTCATTCAATCATCAGAGAAAATTTATATTGTTACTTTTATTAACATCGGCATTTTTAATATTTCCTGCTTTTCCGATAATTCTAATTTGTAAATTATAATTAGTATAATAGCTATATAATAGCAACAATCGTATTTATATTATCTCTATCTATACTAATTAAAATTGTTTAATCTCAATTGCATTTCTCTTCAAATTCTTCTGTCAATAACTACATTTTATTGTCGTTTTACGCGCCGCTTATGTGATATACTAAAAAAAATTCAATTATTTCCAAGTTCTCGTCGTCGACGCAATGTCCACGCGTTGCGGCACTGATGAAGTTTTCAGTCGTGGCACATATTTATATTTTATAATTATGTGAAATAACGCGGTGTTGTTCTCGGCTTATCGCCACCTATAGTCCTGGCATCTCTGCCTACACCTTGCCGCGCCATTCTTGCGGCGACGCTCGAGCGCAAGAGGTAGCAGCGCTAGTCACACGCATTCATGTGTGCTGCCGTAATTAATTATAATACATCTGATAAAATACTCAATTGATACATGTTTTATGATATTATAAATATTTCGTACCAGCAACGAACGTGCTTATTTTCGTGATGCAAAGCTGTCGTATGGTTCCTCGCCAGCGATATACCCCCAAGCGGGGTGCAACTTCAATGCAGTGAGGTGCTCCAGCAGTTTGAAGACCGAAAGTAAAAATCGAGAGACGTGGAAAGCAACTGTATGTTAAAACAGCAGTTGCACGTTCAAAGACTCATACGTGACTTTAAATCGTCGACAATCGTCTAAGCGGTTCGTCGCGTTGCACTTATGACAGAATTATTAGCGTTTTCCTAACTTAAATTTGGGAATGCCGTACAAGTGTCGCGCCAAATTGTGTCTTTCCGCGTCACGATGTATTTACGGACAATAATTGTCTTGTAACAGCGACCCCTTAATTACTTACGTGCGTCCGGTGCTAATTTTTTGTGCACCGAAAAATACATGGCTTTTTCCCGTGATAATCCTCTCCCATTGGATACGACCTTGCAGATGGTGGAGGGGCTCAATACCCAAGGGGTTCAGAATACGTATTACGGAAAACGTCTCAAAATGGATTTCCATTAGAATTTAATTATTTTCTAGATTTATATTGTATTATTTAGGGAAAACTGTCATTTTGACAGTAAATCAACGACGACTGCCATTTGTGTTCCATCAGCAAACCACGAAGAAAATTAAATATATATAAGGAGATTTCTTCTTACTTTTTTATTTTTATTACAGTGGTGTAAATACGAATAGAACGATTATTCAATTATCAACTGAAGAAGTTCAGTTTACAATCGGTTTTCTTATTTCTACTGTAATGATTAAATGTGATTACGAATATATATATATATTCCAGTTTTATTCTTTAATCTTTAGTTTCTTTTAAGAAACTATATATACTTGATTGTAGGTGCTGAGGATCCTGCCATTTCACATGTGCGAAAAATCCACCTCAATATGGCAGCTGATCACGTGACGTTATAAGTTCGTGTGACAACACAGTTGAAACTGCATGTGATAAGAATTTGATTAAACTACGGTTGTGTCCTAAAATTCACTGCCAGCGCTGACGTGTACTGTAGATTTCCAGCACTGGAGAATTTTGGAACTTTGCTTTCACCATTTTTAATGCTAATTACATTTCTATCACTAGTTTATTATACCGACTTATCCCTTAACCCTTTCGGTACGAGGCGACCGAGACGTGAAGGGCTCTCTAGTGGCCAGAGCGTCGAACCGCCGATATACGCGATTCGGCCGAGAGAGCTAGGCATTCGACACGTTCAACGCCTTCAATTATTATATGTATGTAATAAAACTCAATAACAAAACAATTTAAAAAATTATCAACAGAAGCATTTCAAGTTAACATTTCAAGTTTCTCGATCGCAGTGAACAGCATGTGGACAATAATGACTATATAGTCTCTACTCCGGCCGCAGTGAGCAGTATAATGGACTGCAGTGATTATAGTCATTCTCCGTACCGAAAGAGTTAATGCGATATCTAAATGTAAGAAAATCATAAGGATCACATACGTTGTCCTCACTTGGTCCGTATCTGGTAACCTTTTCAGGACCAAATACGATTAAAATCCTCATTTCGCATGATCATGCGCTGCGTTATTTTCGGATCAGGGCCATATTCAGATTACCTGACTCGGGCCTGACAAAAAAATCACGCATTTTTGTTTGGACCTGATTATTGCCTTGCGGCTTGCCAGGATTTCTGCTCGGGTTGTTGTTCTTAGATCAAGTTTTAGACGAATAATACACTTTCTCGATTATCAAGATAAGAAGTGCCAGGACCATACAGCCTGCCAACATCGTCAGAGCTGGCGTTACATCGCTTAATTCGACAAAACCGTAATGTACCCCCCTCGGATGATTCCTTCGTATGTGATACTTGTTCTTCAATTTGCTTATAACGCCATTAAGCTGAAATTTCCGCAAGCTGAAAAATGTGAAAAGATATTTAAAGTATTTATTCTTGAAGAGGGAAAAGCAGTCGTAAGAGTAGTTCTTATCTGAATATAATACATTTCTTGTAATTTTGTGATTTCAACGACATTAAAATTTAACGATATTTTCGCATCCTTAAATAAATATTTATAAGATAAAATATATAGAATTTATACTTTAAAAGTTATTAAAAATTATATTTTTAAAATTAGTGATATTAATAAAATTCATCGATTTATCATATGCATCAACAAACTCAACTTATAAACATCAGACAATTATGTAGTACAATATAGGATGACAGTTTTCCAAACAATAAATGTATATTAAATAATAAAATATATATATCCTTGTAAATAAATATATACATTAGGACTTACTGGTAATTCATGAGGCCAGTGTAAGGATTATCTTTCGTTAGAGTTATCGCCGCATTGCCGATTCTTCCGGTCTTAATATATACGACTCTACACGGTATAATGTTAAGCTCTTCATATACCTCAGCCGCGTAAAGCGCTAACTTGTTTCTCTCGCAGAGCTGCGTAAGAATTGATATAAAAATGGACGACTTAATGAAACTTAACGTCGTTGATTTCATTAATTAAGAAATATCGCTAACTTGCTTGAATCCCTCCGTCGTTGATAGCGGTAAATGATTTTCTTTTAGCAGTTCGTACATTTGCAAAAAAACGGGATCTTTGACGTGCTACAAAATTTGAAAAAGCATAATTTGAAAAAAAACATTTTTTTCCCAGTTGCAGTCGGAATAATAGAATGTCTCTTCCTTAGAATTTTTGTCAGTAATATTATAAGAATACAAAAAAGAACTTAAGAACAATATATTCTCTACGAATTAAATTCTTTAACGTTTAAAATTACCTCTACAAGAAAATTACTAAATTACTAAGATTTATTGTGTATGTCATGTAATACTAATACAATCACGAGACTATGCTTTTATTTGCGAACGTTTCAATGGAAATTACTGTGGCTGAGAAGTCACTGTTGCGCTTTAAATAAAGGCGAGCTCACACTAAGAACGTCGTAGTGGGCGCTATTTTGCACCACAATTAATTTGTAAGAGCCATCCTTAACGTAACCCTCCAGAGTGGAAAAAGGCAGTTTGGGCGTACAGAGCACTAGAATGCTGATAAACGAGGCGGAATAGATGGCCAGAATTACTATCGACGAAGCAGAAATCGAGAAAAAAGCCAGTCTCATCGATGACTCGCTAGGAAATTCTTTGCATAAAATATACATGTGCATTATATTATGGTGTCAAATATACATATATATGTAGAGGAAATTCTCCTGTTATGAGATACCACATCTATTTTTTGTGATTGCCGGAAGTTTATGTGCAGAATTGAAAAATGTAGGAGGCGAGTGCACGCACGATCAAATAATGAATTTTCCACTAAACAGGTTTTACTCTAAGGGCAATAAGTTCCTGATGAAACCAACAAATAGAACCTATTAGTTTAGCAGAAACACCTCGCTATCGCTTATCAGAAGCCTATATCTCATAATAGGGAACTTTCCTCTATATATGTATATGGCATATTGACATATTAGCACATATATAGACACATATCGATGCATCACACACAATTGCTTAAAACGTGACTAATAATACGAAAATATTATGCTAGATATTGAATGTCTCTAGTAAACGTTACCTGACAAACCTTGCTGACAATAAATCCCCCAAACATTAATATAGTTTTCGAACATCAAGTTTATCGAAAAGTATCCTTTTGTCTTCATGATAGTCAATAGAATAGAAGCTGTTATTATTATCATTAATAATGCTATCCAAGTTATAGAGCTGAATGCCTGAAACATTTATCGATGAAGAAAAGCAGCAATTTATTCCACTTTGTTATCGTGAATATTTAGCATAAATTATCTTAATACTGTTATTTGTTCAATATTAACACTTTTCCCAGAGATGTAATTAAGCATTCTAAAGTAATTGCATTTTTAATTTTATAAATGAACGGGATGATTATAAAGTCTTTGTGCAGTTTTAAACTTCTATCATTGTACAATTAAAGAAATAAAAATTATAGTGGTGTAAGTCAAATATTTTGAAAAATTTACCACTGTGATTTTTACCCCTCCAATTGTAGCCAATATAATTACCGTAGGCATATGTAATATATTAAATGATGCATGTCTACTATATTAATACACCTAATACTAAATTATGTATAGGTATTGTTGATATAAAGATAATTATTACCCTGAAGTATAAAGACCATTCCACCAAGGCTGTGTTAGGCTCCTTAAAATAAAGGCGGTATGGCGAGCGCATCAGTGGTATTGTATAGTCGATGACGTTTTGTCTGCCAGTCGTCATCGCGAATGCGGAGATGCCGATATCAGCTTCGTTGGCCACCAACTGGCCAATCGCACCTGTCCACACCTTTTTCTCTTTGCTCCAGGTGCCGAATCCCTCCGCCGGATCCAGAATCTCCACCGTGAAGTTCATCATTTTGCTGAGCTCTGTCAGCAACAGCCCGAAAAACCCGCCGACCGTACCGTTCTCGTGCGAGATCAGCGGCGAGTTCTTCGTGCATATATCAACAGAATTGTCAAGTCAATTTACGCGAGTCTATACGGATCTATAAATAATCATTAAGGGTTAATAAATAATCTTACAAAGTCTATTCTAATATCGATTTCGTGACAAATAGATAATTTTCTTTCAAGGCGACTATTTTCTAGAAGGTCGTCGCTTACGACCATTTTCCGATTCGCAAAAGAAGCAACGCACAACGGAGCTCGACGAAGAGCAAAAAACTTACGATCACGGACGTAACGCGTACAACTTCGCCGAACATGTCGCTCCTTCTAGCGTAGAAGGGCTTTCGCGTCCTTAAAAGTAAACCTCTATCGGGGGACCACAAGGCCAGGTCGAACGTTCTGGTGCGATTATCGCGAATGGCGTACCACTCGACTAGAATCGGTCGAGCGTAGCATAAAACCAGCATCTGGGTGCTGAAGTCCACGTTGAATACGTTATCGGTAGGATGTCTGCAGCGCTCCACGAGAGGATTCCCAGGACGCTGAAGAAATATAACGAGCCAAAAGGGAAAAGAGATGGGCTTTATGCTCCTCGTGGTCTCGGCGAACTCGACCATGGTCTCTTCGGTGTCGAGGAGAACGACAAACAACGGCCGCGTGACGTTTTTCCAGTACTCGTTGTACTCACTTGTCAGATCCGAGAAAGTTATGGTCACGGTCATGACTTGGTGTCGTGAGAATTCGCGCGACCACGTATGCACCAATGTCGTCGTGTTCAAATCTGCAATATTCACATTAAAGATGGTATTATATTTTACTTGTTGTCAGAATTAAATGCTCTCTAAGTCATAACTGCATTTAATTTCTTCAATTAAGAATAAAAGTTTGAAAAAAAATGACTTAATTTTTTTTATTTAATTACATTTTATTCAATTTAAATCCGTAACAATTAGATAAAAAAAAAATGATTTTTTGAAAAATATCTTTAACGTTAAATAATATCGTATAAAAATGAAATAATTTGCTCGTGAAATAATGATTCAATATTTGTTCGAAAGTTCGCGAAAGTGCAGTGTGAGAAATGATAACCGGAAACTGTTCCCGGTATCTACTCACCGTAATTGTCAGACCGCACGAAAATAACACACGACGTGCGATAATATCTGTGGACGTCGTTGATCAGTTGGAAATAATTGTTAATGCCTATACTTTCTGTCAGCGGTTTGGTGCCCAACACGAGGAAAAGTATTATGATTGATCGCGCTGTCGCGTATGTCATTTTGCAAAATGCATATTAACGGCTACTGTGTAAAAAATAAATGTCGATTTCGTCCAGTTGGACACTGTTGCGATAAATAATTAACGTTTAATTCAGAACAATTATCCCTCTTATGGACTAAAACGAACAGGTGAGATTATAGAGAGGCACAAAGAAATCGGAATCCCAGATTCTGCTAACACAACAATGAATCGAAGAGTCTTTTATCGAAAAAGCTCACAGCGCAACTATCGCCGCCGGAGGAGTTAAGAAGAGGAATAAGGCTTCTCTCAAGGGTGCGAACGCGTGACTGAAGGGCGATCATCGCATACAAGAATTTATCGGATTCTAGGATCTATATAATTAATTGTAGCTGCATTATCACCATTATGTAGATGAAAGTATGCAACGGTACAATTTTTATCGGCGAATCATCGGTCAAACCGATAAATTATTCGATGTCGTTAAGCTCACCATAGCTGGTATTACTTATCCACCCACTTCTTATACACCCGTTACTATTTCAAGTTATATCGACGTATCTTAATAGCTTTCAACTCGATGCATAAAGATCAATAAATTTAAACGTGCATGTCTCGCAAAAGGGATGTAGTGTTGAGCATGGAAAGAATCTTCTTGATATCGATAATTTAAAACAGAAGTCGTTTTTTTAAAAAAATGCTAAAACTAAAGTTTTTTTTTCTTTTCTCGCTAGGAAATGTTTTAAATTCTTGTTTTATTTTAGTGTTAGCACGCTGCAATCATAATAATTCGCAGTATAATAACTTAAATCTTCATCGATGTACTATAAGCTTAAAAAAAAATTCAAAACTGTTAATAACATTAATATTTAAGTAACATTTCGAAAATCATTCAAGTCCACGCACGACTCGTAAGCCAGCCATCCTTCCCATTTCATCTTTGGCAGAGCTGGTCACCTTTAAAAATATCGACGTCATGTTTAATATGTTTAATTCTTAATACTTATTTCCCTTCGTTTGAAAGTGTCGCGGAAACGTCTTGTGACTCACAAACCATTTATCACTCCATATGCACGGAGAAAAAAATGATGTACGTTGTATCAACAGCATTATAAGTCTAATTGAAAATAATCTTGTTAATTCAATTCATGCTTTTGTTTTAATAAAATAAGTATTTCTTTTTTTAATAGAATAAGTATATTTAATAAAATAAGTATTATTCCACAATACTGTTTATTGTCTATTGAATTAGCAAGATTACTTCCAATTAGCCTGATACTGTTGATACAACATCATTTTTTTCTCTATGTGCGTCAGCGTGAACGAAATCACACGATAGATATTGTATTAAACGTGATTATAATTCCATATTACCGAATGCAACATAGTCTCTGACATAACTTTGATCGCTCAAAAAGTGTACAAGCAAAAGTGAAAGTCGAACTCCTCGATCGACGAGTAAACTTTTACGGGGACTAATCCCTTATAGAAATTTAATACTGTAAGTGATTTTTTGGCTAGTGATTAATTATTTAAAAGCACTATTAAAGGCACTATTAACAGTGCTTTTAATAGTGCTTTTAAGTGATTAATTACTAGCCAAAAAATCACTTACAGTATTAAATTTCTATAAGGGATTGTAAGTCGTAGTCGGCACTACCACGTAGAACGATTAATTTATACTATTTATAGGTACCATCGTCGACAAATTATTCTAATCTGAAAAGGCAAATGCGAGTGTACGCCGTTATAGGAAGCAGACTAACGTCGCCGAATAGTAAACCGCTATCAACACCGCTGTCAAAAATATCGTCAAGTACGCGATGCGCAACGACATTCTTTTCGGAAAGAAAAAATTTACTTAGAGCTCCATAGTCAACTTTTGAAGAAGGAAAAAATAGAGTCCAAGATTAATTTAATTAAAATAATTTATTTTAATTAAACGGCACAGTATTATTATTACTGTTATACAGATATATATGTCCTAGCAATAATAATACTGTGCCGTTTGGAAGATATTTCGAACTGACCCCGTAATCTCCGTACTTGTCTCCAGGATGAATGAATGTAACGAGCGCCGCAAAATAATGTCTTCGGACGCTCAGTATTACGTTGACAAGAGACGTCAACGTTAAAGTGAATCTTTGCCGAAATGCCGAGAAGAACGACAAGCGACATCGGACCCGCCGAACAGACCAATAATTTTTTTTTTTTTCACCGTTGGAAGGTCGGTCGAGGAAAGTTTACAGCGCGAAAGACCGGGGAGATCAACTAAACGGGTAAAACTTCTGCTTAGCAGGACAAATGTCTCCCGGTCGCAGTAATAAAGGTAAATGCAGGGACGTAGATACATAATCGAGCGTTTCTGATAACATAATCGCGGTGATTCTGCGACGTGGAAATTGCGACCGATTAAACGTGGTAATTTGCTTTAATCGCTTTCCTTCCTTGCGCTGTCGCTAAATTAAGAATCAACGATATTTTCTTAATATTCATATTGAATATAAAATGTGATATAAAATATAAAAATATACGCAGTTAATTAAACGCGAGGTCTTCTCCGGGTGTTAACGTTACAGTAAATAAAATCTTTTTATCTTTTTATCTTTTATTATACATATTCTAGGTAGTTGAGCAGAGATTCGGTTGCGGAAAGGAGAATAAGATGAGGAGAAAGGTAAGCGGTGTTTAGTGAAAGGATAAGTTGCGAAAGGATCAAAGGTAAATGTAGAGGTGAAAGAGATAAGCGTGATAGGGCAGAGAAAAAGAGAGGGGTGCGGAAGAGAAAGCGGAACAAGGGAGAGGAAAGTAATAACCGTTACAGATTACCCAAGATAGAGCGCGAGGGGAGAATAATAGCAGAGGCGGTCGAGAGGATTGTGGGCGGGGGAAGGTGAAAGGAACGAGGACGAACTAAGGAAAAAGAATGTAATTTTAAGGGTCGAGAAGGAGAAATGGGGAGGCAAGGAGTCGAATTGGGAGAAAGTGAAGGAGTTATTCGCGGAAGGGCTAAAAGTAAGGGTGACGGTGAGAGAGGTGATTGTGGTGGGGCAGAGAGGAATATGGATGACCATATTGGTGAAACTGGGAAACGAAGAGGAGAAGTGGCAGGTGTTGGAGGCGAGGAGAAAGGCAGGGAACAGCATAGGGGTGAAGATCCATGAGGACAAGTCTGTGGAAAGGAGAGATAAAGAGAGAGGAGAGAGAGGAGAAAATGGAAGGGAAGATACGCAGAAGTACAGAGAGGTCGAAGGAGGAAGAAATTACAAGAGGGTTGGAGGAGAAACTGCTCATGGTCTCCGATGATGAGGAGAAGGAGGATGGGGGAAGAAGGGACTGGGCTAAATAAAGAAGAGCTGAGACGGAAAGGAGGGAGGCTGAAGGACGGAGTCGCGGCAGGAACGGAGGAAGAAGAAGAGGGGTGAAGAGGATTACAGGAAGAGAGGGTAAATATTTGTGAGGTCGCAAATGGCCAGGCATTAGGGAATGAACATTTGTAAGAGGTTTGGGTACGTTCCTTATGAAAAAAACGCCTTATTGTAAGCCCTACGAGGATATGCAATACATCATGTTATACATATTCTAAAAGTAATTAAACATTCTATCATGTCAAATAATAAACATGTTCAGAGATATTGATTAATTGCTAAACGCGATTAATTCTTAGATTAAATTTGCACCGATGTGAATCACTCATATATGGCGATGCGAAAGTGAATGGTATAAATGTGATGCGAGACTGTTGACTTTACGCCCATAAATTTAACCCTTATCGGTCACACTATGTAAAATACACCCCAGCGTTTTTTGACTTCGAAAACGACCCAGTAAATCAATGGAAATGGGCCTTTTGCCGCCATCTACAAGTAGTTGGGACCTTCAAGTATCGATCCCCATCGGTGGTATATTTTTCGGCCCGTTAGTTCTTTCTCGGCAATTTTTTCCGCAAAAAATCGCACCTTTATAACCTCAAAATCAATATACTTTTTGGAACGGCCGCATAAACTGCAATAATTAGTAAAAAGTGCGTCACCTGAGGATGAAAAAACCGTTTAAAAAATTAAAATATCTTAAAAATTGAAAAAGTTACATTATTTTTTGTGAAAAGTCACTTTTCCGACTTTTTTTTCAACAATTTTTTTACATATGTTAAATTAATTTTTTGCAAATCGAACCTATACAGTCTTTTTAAGGAAGACTTAAACTACAACAGGATATTTTTTTCTTTTTTTTTAAGGTCACCTACAATTTTTTATACACGTGCAAACACGCTGGGGGTGTATTTCACCCAGTGTGACCGGTACGGGATTCTCGGGTAGTGTGACCGAAAAGGGTTAAAAATATCGTTCGTATCCGACTCTCGACACATCCATATGACTTTGTGATTTTCAGTAAACATAAAGGAAATATATATGTGTATATTATTATATATTATTATAGTACACTATGTATGCATATATATATATATATATATATATATATATAATGTATGATCGACGATACATAAATCATGAAATGCATAAAACGATTGTCGCAACTTTAAATTCTAAAAAAATAAGTAAGTAAACAAATTAGATAATTGAATGAATCACAACGGCAGCCTCATTGTTGCGGATTGCGAGCAATAAGTAGTTATCTTCAAGTTATAATCGATTATGAAAACGTTCAAGAAAAATACAGAGAGCGACCTCAAGCTGATAATGTATTTTCTATATATACATATGTCAACAATTTTAAAATATAAGTTTATAATATTAACGATAGTGAGATACCTAAACCAGTTTTGCAATATTATAACAATTTATTAATTAGAATACATACGACATAATTTTTGTACCGACAATTTGGTATCTATGTGTCGAATATTTTGGATAATTTTTATTAATAAGCAAAAGATTTAGGCGTATATACGTTTGTGTAAGCATAAAAAATGTAAAAAGTTATATATTGTTTACAAATGCGGTATGTCGTACTCTTATACATATAAGCAGAATGTTATATGATATCTTGTACTCGAATGTAAGCAGAAAATTTATAAGATTAAACGAGATAATATTTTTTGGGATACTACATTAAGATGAGATTGAAAGGGGGATATATGACATCAATATATATGTATATTCAGTGTTGAAAATATATACTTTATTTTAATAGACTTATATACAAGTTCTATTCACAATATCTAACAATTCGATAGTTGCCAAAAAAACAAGATGTACCAAATCGTTGGTAAAATACTTATCGCATATCTTTCTTCTAATTCTCACATACGTATTAATTTAAAAATATACCATATAAATAGTCCAAATAAAATTAAAATCATACGTCAGTCGATATTCTAAAGAAGCTATGACTAATTTGTTTAGTAATGTTACTTAAATTTCCTAATATTTAATTATAACTTCATGAGAAGGCAATCAATATTTAACGTTTTGCAAGGGCGAATCCCACTTGGTTGTTCCCCATGTCAAACTTGGTGTAGTACCGACCAACAAATGGATAGCCCAAAATCCACTCTAATTCATTATACGGAATAACCTCATGGAAGGCGGGAATGCAAACATCTATTTCGCCTTCTGTCATCTATAAGACATTAAATATGGCATAATATTTCTATTCTAAAAACAATTTAAACCTTTATATAATAATATTCTTTACCTTCAAGATATAATCTTGACCAGTGAGTCGTAACGTCTTACCACCTATGACGAAATTGATATCGGGCAAATTAGAAATCTCGTCGCACTTCACCTTTAAACAAAAATCAATGTTAGTAATCCATATTAATAATCCGAACTTATCAAACATTTATTAATTTATTTTAATAATTTATTTAAAATAATTGTGAAAGCTGCCATTGCAGAAAGGGACAATAAATTACCGTATCATTAACAACACCGATCTCTCTGTAAATAGCTTTGATAGTCCCCGGTGGTCCACCCATCACAGAAGCGCCCGTGTCGACGATAGCTTGACAGCCTTCCGCGCAAGAAGTGTAATTTTTTACTTGAATCCTACAGTGGGATAACATTACCAATTAGCTGACATATAATCCGTGGTTGACATACGTATAATTTAGAAAAGAAACTACGTACATATCCATTTCAAATTGCCAGTATGCTTTGTGAGGAACATTAACATACGTAAACTCGCCCTCGTAATGGGAAGAATCGGTACCACCCAATATCAGTTCACGGCCGAACACGTCCGTGGCATTTCTGTATAGGTTGTATATTTTTTACATTGTTTATACATTTGCATTTTACATTGCATGGAAAGACAAAGTATGTAATTTAAAAAATAGTATTAAACACACGTGAGGCATACGGAAAGATACATACCGATTTAGATAGAAGCTAAAAATTGGTTGGGACACCACGTGTTTATCAATCATGTTTTGGAAAACAGTAGGCTTTTTAAAGACAGATAAGGCTGGATAACCCATCCCCAGAACGCCGTCGCATTGTGCAGAGTCCCAAAAACTTGTCGCGAAATCGAGCGCTTCTCCGAATGTCTGGTTTGAAACCTTAAGGCCAGCAATCTGCGAAACGTTGATATTATTAATAAAGTATAATTACGCGCATTTTTTCGGAGAATGATAGCAACATGTGCTTTTTAGAAAATTTTCATAGATTATGACTGTGATTAGAATTAAATATATCATTTACTTGACTATGACTTACGATTACGTCATCAGTAGATAAGAACCCAGACACATTGCCTTTCGCGTAATCAATAAAAAATGGATCATTCTGTGGTATATATGTAGTGGACTTTGTATTATCATATTTATCATGTTTGACTGCAAAAAGTAGTAAATAAAATTAAATCAGTTAATATTGAAGAATTTAAAAATATAAATTTTTCTATATTAATTTAAATATATATAACTGACAGTAGTTAAATCATCAAATATATTTAGTTAAATTATTAAATATATTTATGTTTATATTTTTTTCTTTAACATGTGAGCTGTTTTGTATAAAAAATTATTTGTGTTTTTAAAGTAAGTGTGCTAAATAATGT